ATTACTAGTTTTAGCCCCCTTGCAGACGTTATTCTTATGAGTCATACCAGATCAAGGTATATGAGCTCAACGTAATCGGCTGAAATCTCGTCTGGGGATTTTTGCTTGCGCATCACTAACAAGATGTGAGAAATTTGCCATCTGTATAATAATACGGAGGAGAGGAGGGTAGGGATGGTTTGTGCTCCCTGTGAGTTGACCCGATGTGATTTTCTCGAGGGTAAAAGTCGATTTCACAGGAAGAGCCTTCTAACTCTTTTGTAAATGCTACATATCTAACTAATCGAACTTGAACTATGTTTATCAGGACATGGAAATAAGACTATAGTTTTTTTAGCTATATTTTTGTTTTGGTGGATTTTGGTATTTGATAATGACAGCAGTTCACAGCCTCAGGGGCTGAATTTTGTTTRGAATTTTTATAATTCCTTTGTACTTGTTCTAAGTACCTGTCGTCACAAATTGCTGTCTCTGTTGTTATCATATAAAGGTATGCAACAAATTCCACATCGCGGTTATGATATAAAAATAAATTTATTAGTAATACAGGAAAAGATTTGAAAGTTTCTTGTGTTATTATACAACGTGACGCCCCGTGAATCTAATGTCTACCATTCTATAAGTCTCTTCCTTTTGTAACACCGACATCGCATTGGTGAACATTTTTGACTGCAAAGAATTGTAAGATATTATCAGCATTGAATGGGTTTGTGCTTTCAATGTGGTTTGACATAATTTCAAAAGTAATCGCATTTTTAAAAATTTTATTTAATATCGGATTCCGACTTCATAAAAGCTTTCCTTAGCTTTAATATTAATAGCAATTCTATGTGGGGAACATAGCAAATTAGAAGCATCTTTTGGCTATTGTTTTGAGTGCTTATGATTGGACAATATCTTTTAATACAAAAGAAAGTTTGTTTCAGAATAGACTTTATCAACATTTTATTTTAAAAATGTGTTATACATAGGTTGATATATGTTATATATGTTCTCAGTAAATTTTGGTGAAAAATGTTAATCCTATTTTTGTTAATATTAATCCTTATGATGTTGTTAATATAGGAAAAGATTCGAAAGTTTTCGTCTGTTGTTTTAATAAAAATAACGTCACGCCCTTTGAATCTATTGTCTTCAATTCTTAGTCTCTTTGCAATGCCGATATCGCAGTTCCCTGGCAGAGTCTCTCGTTGTAGTTCGCAGTGAAGAACATTTTTGACTGCAGGGAACTATTGTTCTGGAATTGAGTTAAGGAGGATTAAGGAATATGTGACCAGAACGCTGTCGTATGTATTTGATTTTTTCCAAAAACGACAGATCAAGATTCCCTTATGGTGGCCATACCGCTGTGCAGTCACTGGTGCATATTATTGGATACGCTTCAGAACAACTGTAAACAGCCTCAGTTTCTTCTGAATATCGCAAGAGTATTGCACACATCACTTTGAATCATGGAGAAAAATATTTCTTTTCTGTTATTTTAGTTTTTGAACTTATAAGCCAATCAAATTAAATAATCGGTACTTCGTAGAATGTTATGGTCCATTTCGCTGTGCACAAACAACTCCAAATTTGGTTTGTTTTTGCGATGTTATTGAACATCGAAGTCAGTGAAGGTGAAGTTTCTATTTTTGCGACAACCTAGCGACAAACTAACAGCTGTTTCTATTGGTGGGTTTGGTTTGTAGGAGTGTCTGTCTCAGCATCTATACCACGTCAAACCCATACAGAAGTCAGTCAAACAGAAGAACAGAGAAGAAGAAACACACCTAAATAATACTTTAGCTTTAGATCAAGAAATCAAACTTTCTTTTGAAAGGTAAGGCATGCAAATAATGTTTTATTGTACTTTTGAATATCTGCTTCGTGGGTTGTTTAATTAACTGCGTCTCGTGCGTACTTCTTGGTTCTCACTACATTTTGACGTCATCTGTGTATCTATTTGAGTACACACGCACGGAAAAATGAGATCTATCTGTTTTATACAACAAACAATTAGTTTTGACGTAATCCGTGTATCTATACTTTGATAACACACGAAAGCCAACCAATCAAAACGTCTGATTTTACTGAAAAGTTGTATAAAGTGGACTCACTGCTAGTGTGAAGGGACTGAATTCTTTTATCAAACAAATACAAGTTTTCTAACAATCGTTCATCACACTTAATACCAATATACTAGAGTGTCAAAGTAATATAATGTCTAGAAACTGTATAGTTGAGCGATCGCGTTGATCACCGGACTTGTAAGATTAATGTCGGTAAATTCAAAGCAAAATTATCTAAAGATGTTTTGCATTCTGTAAGCTTTTAATTCTATGATGTTTATTCAGGTTTTC